TAGTCGTCACGTTTTGCGCTATTTGTCGTTAATCGTAGTCGAAATATTCTGAAATTACTGTTTTTGCAGGTATTGTTTTAGCATACAAGTTCGCAAATATCTGGTCAGTGCAAAATGACGTTCATTTTGTATGAATGTTTTAGGTAGCATTTATGTAACTTACGTCTCCTGTTATGATTTTAGAAGTATATTAGTGAATTTACACCAATTTCAATGAAGGCTTCATTAACGAGCAAACGTTTTATTGATGGCTTTCTTCCTTTTAAATAAAAGATAGTAAGTAGACATTACGTTTGCGCCAACATGATATTTACATCTAGCCCTGAAGTTGCGTCCAGTCTGTTTTGAATAACTAGTCATTTTCATAAAGTAGTTTCTTTGATGTTGCTTTTAACGTTTCCGGCTAACACAATTAGCTCGAATGGGCTTAATTTTTGCGCTCTCAGACACAAAAGGTATTTAAAATGCCACAGTTGCTGTCATGTTTGTCACGGTAGTTGCGATCATCTTTGATGTAGATGAAGTTGCCTGCATTATTCCCCTAATCCTCTAAAATGGCTTACCTTTTGGACACATGTCCTGGCCTGCATCACAACACTACCGCCTCTCCAACGTTGTGTTTGGACTGGCATGCAGTTCAAGCTAACACGTCAGTCTACGTTGAGCAAGTACCGTGTTACTTTAAAAAAATGCTACAAAACAACCTGGTTCATTTATATCTTCATTTTGTAAATTACACGATTTCTACAAGACCTACGCCGTAGCTTGCTTTAAAAGTTGCAGCATTATCGGAAAATTAAAAACCAATATCATGGCTGCCACTTCAGTTGGGTATACTGTTTCTCTGTCTACAATTTACTTCGAGTAAGTGCGGAAAGTTCCGACCTTACGAATTAAATGTGGATTGCAACATTCGGTCCTAGAAAGTCCCTTAAACATTGCCGTCCATATGTCACCGTACATGCTGTTACATCTTTCATCACACCAGGCACAGGTAATTTTTCCACGAGATTTATCCTGTAAAATTAAGCTCAGTCGAAAATCGCTTGATGATAAAACATATTTCTTCGGTTAATGGAATGAATAATTGTGCGAAAGGACTGTCACACCGACCTGAGAGTTTAATTTGACTTTCGTTAGAGTTGTACGGGATCATTTGTGACCCGCCATATCGCTCACGTGGGTGATAGTTTAGGGTCCACTTTAATTTCAAGTTCGCAGAATATGGCATAACAGTGTGTCTCCCTTGTGGACTTAATCTTCAGTCTCCACTAATTTTCAGTATTCCGCAATCGAAGCTACTAAACTTCGGTTAAGAGTTGTGGGGCGTGTTGGACACAAAACGAGGACTGCTGCCCCAAGGCATAGCTACATCAACACAAACAGAATGGGTGCTAGATGATGTTGTGCTGGCAGTCTCAATTTGTGGTGTCATAACAACATGGGCAACTTGGCTTTGTTGGCAGGTTTTAAAAACTTCTTTGTTAGACAAAGAATGGAAAAAGAAACGCTATATTTTAATTTGGGCTAAGAACTTTGAATATTTTGCCGCTTATCTTTATCTAAGAATCTGTGTTTGCAAACGGTTTATGACCACCTTACCTCTAGCCTCAAACAAAACACCAGAATATCACAAAGGCCAATAAAATTTTAATCACCAAGATGTTTTGAGTGGCCATGTTCCATTTGAAGTGCCAAAATGCATCGTCCAAATTCAATTTCGAGGTTTTAACTTGGAAAATGAGAATTTTGTCATCTTTGACTACAGTGCTACTTGTAAATATTGACAGCCAATAGAATCCTGCCCGCACCTTATTGTAATTGTTTTCAATCATAAATATCTCTTTTAAGCACTTGATGTTATTAATTGTAAAAGAAAAGAGAAAGGCCACATGTAGATATTCTGCTTCCCTTGTAGGAGTTTACAACTGTACTAATAGTAATTTTCTGCATATCGCCGATGCAAACAAGGGGATGACGTAATCCACAGATATTTGGGTAAAACACCCACTTCCATGCGAAGTAGACATAATTCCAAGTTTTAGTAAAGGACTTGATGCTATAAATTTCTTAATGAGGCATACATCCAGCAGAATATTTAAGGTTGGAAGGCGTGCATAACCGAAATATATGCACAGGGGTTCAGCAGATTTGTTGAAACAATACACATTGTTTTTTAAAGTAGCCACATTTTCAATGCGCAATTAACGTCGCCCCTTAAGTTATGTCCTGTTGCTTAAATCTGAGTCAAGTCGAAATCAAAAGTCGTTTCCACCAAAATGGTAATGAGTACTATACCCTAATAGTGGTAAGACATAATTCTTTTAGCTACTGGAATATTTTCTCCAAAAACCTGCCATTAACAGAAACCTTTTCTGATACATCAGACAGTGGTTCACAGTATTACACACCATCGCACATCCCTTTTTAGGTGTAACCCCAGGAAATTTTTGGACTTTGTAATCATCTTTTATTTTAGATATTAAGCTCAGTAATCGTAATGGAATCGAATAGAACGCGTAGACTCATAGGGACTCTATTGATTATTCTTACTACCACGAGTGTCTCCAAGGGATTTCAGCATCAACAACGGAACACAACCTTCTTTAATCGCCTTCGTCGGGCAGTCGAAACACCCGGTGTAGGAAGCCTTCTACCTCAACCAGACATCTGCCGAGAGTTTGTTGAATCCAAGGTTGTTCTCAAAGGCTCAAAGGCCACCTCACCAGCGGATATTTTTAATGATTTGCCAATTGGAAAGGACTTCGCTACAGCAGGACGCAAGTACGCAAAGGACTATATTTTCCAGTCTCCGGATTACCCACACAATTACCCTAACAGTATGCAATGCATCAAACTCATCGTTGGTAAGCGCACAGGCTTTAAGATACGGCCCCCTTTCTCCTGCTGTCAAATGTTCATGAATTTAGCAGTCTGCAGGCCACACTGGCTCGTGGTTTGTTACTTGAGGTGCGCGTATGACCAGGTAGTCAATTTTTTTACTGGTTTAGGAAACGAATGAGGTAATCGCTAAAAACAACAAAACTAATTTTAGTATTAAGATCGAAATTACCAAGTTTTCATGGCATCTAATTGAATCCAAACTGCGACAAAAGATATTTGACTTACTTGAGCAATTCAAATAACACGGAAGAAAGAGCAATGTGTCTTTCGAAGTTGTTTAGAAAGGTTAATGCAAAGGAGAAGCATTGAAAAACGTAAAAAACATAAATAACTGCTTACAATATTAATAAGTGATATCCGTTTTACACTATCATCGAATTTGAACATTCGTCAAATTTTGGTTGTTCGTGGCTAGCATCGTCATGTCGAATTTTTTTAAACTTCCTTGGTAAAGCTGCATCTAGATGGGTACTACAAAAGGCTTACTTGAGAAAACAATCATTCGGATGAAGTGGAGTCTGAATGTCGGAAGTCCACGAATACGACGTTATTAGTCGACATCAGCGTCCTTTCCCCAATTCTACATTAAGCACACTTCCCGTTTTGGCTAGAGTTTTGAAATCAGGAAAATTTGTGTTGTTGCAAATTTGCTAGTGAGGACCTGGGGTACATTGAAGGTGCATTGTGAATCTTAAATAAATATACCGTGAAGTATCATACAAATAACTTTACCGAAAAATAATTTCTCTCCACCTTAAATCTGCAGTTAACTGCTTGTAATGTCTCTTAATACGCTAGTTATGAATTTTTAAAATTTTTTTGAGTGAAGGAGAGGCATACATAAAGACATGTGGTTGAACCTTTTCAAAATATCCGTTGAGCTTTAAATCGTTTTGCTTTTTGCGTATTACAACCTGGGAACCCTCACCATGTCCTGTAATTTTAAAAGCTAATACATTTTGAAGGTCATCGACTCATGATCTGATCAACAAAGCACATCGGGGCGGACTTAAACATTTTTTTTTTGAAAAGAACAACCAAAGCAGTAGTAATAACGATTCACGGAAAATGAATGAGTGCATTCCGAAAAGCTACATGTTGCAGTGACTCCATCTACTGTTAATCACTGTAGGTGCTAGATATTCCACTGTGTGACTGTATTCGGTTTTTCAACACTTGGTTTAATGTGGCCTAGACTCGGCTACATGCATGCAAAATTGCAATCTATTAAATTAAGTACAAATGCGGCGCGCACGGCATGATCTAATAGCCACGCCATTCAACTGGAAGCAGGGGTGCGGAGTGAGACGTCGGCGGACGCGTGTGGGCGGAAGCTTGTTCGAGCAAATTTACCCCAAGTTGATTGGTACTTGTGACTCACCTACGCACTTCATTGGACTGTTCACTTCACGCGCTCGCTATGGCAAATTTACGGTTTTGGTCACCGGCATGTGGCTTTCTCGTTTTTGTGGTTTTCAATGTACGATTGGATTTTAATGCAGTTTGCTAGCTCATACAAATGTACTGAATTGATTGCGTTTTGGCGTATTCTGAATTCGATACAGCTAGATAAAGTTTACCTGGTCAGATTTCGAAAGAAACGGGGAAAGTACTCAGCAATTATTTGTAAACGGCTGTAAATTTGCTAATTTGTGTGATATCTGTTGGTACGGCCGGACGCTTAGTTTGCTTGCAGTAAAAACTAAAAAGATACTAAAATACACTCATAATGCAACTTCAATTAATGGTCGCAACCTTGGTCAGTCTCTTGGGGGAGGGTATTTGCTGACTAATTAGCACTTCCTGGTTCAAATGTTTATGCGCTTCTGGCTACAAGAAATTTAAGCGTTTGGACAATCCATTTCTGAATAGGACAGTGGATTCTTCAGTTAAAACCGCGATCGCGACTGATACTACGAATAATAGCGGATGGTACACATATCAATTTCAAATCTGTTTGTATGTGTCAGAATAAATACTTCCCACTGTGCAACCGTAGCCGCTTTATGGGCTAGTAAAAGTGTACTTAATTCGATGGTTTGAAAGGTTGGAGAAACCTTTAGTGACCTCGACAATAATCAAACGATGACCCTTTCATGCACCTGCAGCATTCAGGGCAGGCTCCTTATCGGTATTTTGAAACCCCTTTAGCTCCTTCAGACGAACACAGAATCTACCTCCAGATTTTGCATCCTTTCGCCCTTGAGCCCGACTCTTTGTGTGCTATGGACTTCTTGGAAGTGCGAGATGGAGCCTACGGCTTCTCACCACTTATTGGGCGGTTCTGTTCCCGTTTCCCGCCTCCAGAGAAGAAGGAAATCAGCTCCTCGGGGCAGTTCCTGTGGCTCAGATTTCGGAGCGACAGCACCATTCCACATGGCGGATTCCGTGCCATCTACCACTTCGAAAAACTCAGTAAGTTGAATCGTCTGTGAAAGCGTCACCTACCTGAGTTGTGTACAGGTATTTTGGTGAGCAGAACTATGACATAGCATCAATGTTACTTAGTTTAGAGAAGGCTCTAAACAAGTCACTAAATCAGAGCAATCCAGGTAACAGCGGCGACTTGTAGCCAATTAATTAGTGCTTAATTTAGATGATATAGAGTCAAGTCTTTAAGAAAGCTACCAAAATCCTCATGCTAGTGCGACCACAATTAGGACAGTGTGATTCTGTTTGGATTAGTCCGTTTCAAATAACCGTCTATAACGAGGCTTTGTGGGGAATAAATTTACTTGCTTAGGGGCAATGCACATGTTTAATTTTTTTAATTTTGTCTTTGAAAATAACTGAAGCAATTGCAAATAGAATGTTTAACTGAAACATTGTAAGAGGCGTGACACAATATTGGAAGTTAAAAATAAAAAAAAGCTCATAGTCCTAAATTCTATAACATCTCCTATTTTAGATGATGGAACGCAAGACAATCAAGGTAAGTGCCGTAATAATTAAACAACCCGATCAGACTTTACAGAGACCAGAATTTAAATTTAATTATTCCTTCTAGACGTCGTCTGAAGCGGACATAACACTTAAGTATACTTTTCCCTAAAGTAAATTTCGCATTGTGAGTACTTTCGTCAAGGATGAAATTAATATTTCGTTTCATTAAATTACTTAAGTGATCTTAAAAAGGTCTACTTTGGCTTCGTACGTAACGACTTAGACTGTTTTGACAACCTCCTGGCTTAGATTTGAAGTAAATGAGTAAGAGTAAGGTTCTAAACACACCTAACAAATGGATTATAATGTCATTCATCAGTAAGGAACGGAAGACAAGTTACTAGGCATAAATTACTCACAAGTTGTATCAGTGCATGAAGTATGTAAATGAGTATTATGTTTTAGAAGGCCAGGCAGTAGGTATTTGCTTCCTCAAAATAATAATTTGGCATCGAATACTTGTCCATGCGTCACATTTCAAAATTATCATGGCCAGGAGGTTTATTTGTGCAATTGCATACTTCGATTTGTTGTTTCTTTTATGAATTTTAGACTACCAGCCCAAGATATTACGTAAGTTGACCCTCGTTGTATTTTATGAGGCTTCATGAAGAACCTTTCAATTTAAACTTCCGACACTTTCGAATGGCCTTTGCTCGACAATTACACTTTGTGGAATAAAACCATTTATGATGTATGTAGAATCCTCAGAACCAGTGAGCAATTTTTGCCATAAGATCCAAGTTACCCAAAATGTTTGACTTTGATGATAGGTGTGTTATGCTCGTGTGATATGTGTAACTGCAGTTGTAGTAGGCAAAGATTCTAGAGCTCAAGCCAAATCTAAGATTTCCGTCTAATACGTCATCTTCGGCAAGCGTAAAATGAAATTTATAGTGTTTCACAGTCACAAAACATTCATTGGATCTAAATTAGGTTAATTATGTGAATAAATCGCTCCAATGACCACGTAACCATGAGCTTTCTGCTGTGCGTATAATTTTTGGCATACTATTCTTGACTCTCTGGCCAGGCACTTGTTAGAACACATGCATGGTAATTTCTGATACTTTAAAAAGGAACCTACTTCCTGAATTTCTGGTAACTACTTATCACTGGAATCTGGGACTTTTGTGTTTTCCTTTTATTTTAGCCTTCTATTTATCAAGATTTCAAGTTGACATTTTTCTAGCCTCCCCTTCCGCATAATTTTATTTCCTGCAAATACAGAGGTAAAATAAAGCCATGCAAAGTAGTAAATGGTGTTCTACTTCGTGCATCATTACATCTACAATGGAATAATGCTTTCTACTACCAACTGCTACCACCTACCTAGAGGCATTTGCTCTTATTATTTAGGTAAGCAAAGCCTGTTTGAGTTAAAGGAGGATGAACAATGGACGCTGAGGCATGAATTTCTTATAAAGCAGCTGGAAACTATAACTCCCGAGGAACATCAACTTCCACTGGAGGCAGTGTTCGACATCCGTTCACCATCGCAGACTCACGTGAGTCCTGCACTTTGTATTTTTTTTTCAATTGAACTTCTAACATTTGTGAGCTGCTGTTTCCTGGCCCGAATTCGAGTCATTTCATGACTTGAATTGTACTCCGTTTACACGGTTTGATGAGGCCCTGGCAACATCCAAAATATCGTCCTTAAACCACCCTCACCAATAACAAGTTTCTAAAGTACACCAAAAATTCCTTGTATCCATGTCAAGTCTGTAACTTATCCAAAATCATCTTCTTAAACACAATTTTAAAGTTAGCACTTTGAAACTGCTTTTAATTTAGGTGCTGACATATAGCTAATTTGTAGTTGCGCATGTCATGTGTCTAAATGGCTTTGACGAACTTAGCTTCAAATCTTAACTGGCACAGAGTTAAAACATTTTAAAACAATAAGATGACATTAGGGAATACCTCTGTATTCAAAATTTGGGGAAATTCCTCATGGCAATAATTTCCTTCTGTCTCCTGGAGACATGATTAAATCAAGCTAAACAGGTATTATTCGTGTTTTTAATAATAATTAACTCAGCTTCATAGACTAAATGAATCGTGATTTGAATTGTGGATTTATTTAATGCCGTCATCACGCATTTACTGACCTGGCGCAATAAGAGATGTTTTTATACTCCTATGAACGCAGTCGTTAATATTCCAGACAAGGCACGCGAAATTTAATAAAGTATACGCAAAATTATTTACTCGTCGTGCGATTAAAATGATCAACAAGGTGAAGTGGCTGTTGACACTTGAATAGGCGAGCGTTTTGTTTACATTAAAGTCTTCAACTAGGCAAGAATAAGTTTCTTTCATTTATTAACAGAGTTGTCAGTGGTGTTCGACTCGACCCTAGTTCCATAAACCAATCGATACGAGCAGTTTTGAAGCCACTTAAAGACAGGCTTATTATAGTAGTTATGCAGACAAACTTCCAGTGTAGATTAGTTAGTTATTGTAAGCAAACTGCACATTATTTAGGATAATGCCAAAGTTAATGCTATCTCCACGGGTTTTAATCACCCACCTCAATGTCGATTATTCGTTGCCTGCTTCTGTGATTTTACGTAGTACTTGTATAAAAGGCAACGGGAATTTGGACGATATTGGCTACCATACCGTATAACAAAAGAGTAAACAGGCCCGGCTACTTTTGATTTTTATCCTAAACTGCTTTAGATATTGATGCACGTGCACCATTTTCAAGTGCCCCAAGTGGCAGCCTGGAGCTGCAACCCAGACTACCTTGCACACCAAAAAGCCATCAAGTACTGCGACTACCATTCGGGGTCCCCAGCAGTCTACTCGGACACATTCACTGAAAAACCCCCCAATCTTTTACAGGGTAAGTGCAATTGGACTAACTGCTACGGTTCAAAAGTGGCTGGTTTTCTTCCCCACGCCATTGATACTTCGATTTTCCTAAATCAACGATTATCCTTTCTACGTCTTTCATCACGAGATCTAGGTGCAAGGAGTGGGACAGCGGCGTGAACATGCGCATTAACAGAAAATTAATATGACTTTTACAGCTGCTAAAAAGCGTTCAATAAAATCGCGTTTATGATCGATTCTTCCTGGGGTGTTGAAAAGTGATAAATATTAAGGAGGGTATCCGCAACACTTTTTGGTTCGCTTGTCCGTCAAATGTATTTTGGTGGGTAGGATTGCCAACCCGCAATCATATGCCAAATGAAACCATGTATTTTGGACTAAAATTAGTGGGTTTGTTTGTATAAAGCTAACTCCTCGCATGAAAGGAGAAGCGTAGCTAAAAGGATTTAGAGCGATACGATTAAGCCCAGTTTTCTTTGTGCATTTAATGATGGTTCCGTCGATTCTCCTATATTAAGTGAAAAGTTATACGCCATCAGTGCCCGACCCAAGCTCACACATAGACGGCAAGCACACCTTTATCGAGATCTACGCAGATGGTAACACGGTCACGGATTCCTCGCCTCCCTGTCCATGTGTCGAGAGGTTTTGCATCGCCTCCGCCGCCACTGACCTAATCGACTCCTCCACCTCGGCATCCTCGTCAAATAAAGGCACAGAGGATGGCCACCAGCAGCGCCAGTTTCTCGTTTTGGCACCGCGTCTCGTGGTTCGTTTAGTAGTGGCGAAGCCTTCTAAAATGGAAGCGTCGCAGCCAGAGACGAGTAGTAATGAACAATTCACTCTAACTGACGTCGAAAATACGGATGGTTTGGATGAAAATGAGGAATCGTTAAATATCTTTTCGATGTTACCCAATTTCACCATTACTGTGACAGCCCTATCTCCACGTATTAACGGAGGTAAGTGAAGCATATATATTACTTCTTTTTTCTGGTCATTCATTTTTCTTCCAGTGGTTATAATTTCTAAATATGTTTTGCTTTTTTTTCTTAAATTGATCGCAAAGAAAGTTCTCTAAAAGCATCTGCAACATGCTAAAACATAAGATTATGACTTTTGACAAAAATGATGCCTTTCCCTATATATTAGAACCATTAAGTGATTGAATCTTTTTGGTAGAGCTGTAATAGCCTTCTTATTTCTTAAGTCTTTTTCACCCATGCACTTGTGGAGCTTTGAAACGTACAATAAGATAACCATATAAAATCCACAGAAATTGATTTGGTTACAGTCGCGTTATATGGCTATTATGTCTACAAGGTGGAGACCAAACCAAATAAGGTGATAAACTCTCGAGATTATTAAAGTGCAAAGGACTATCCTGCTTTTTGAAAAGGAAATCTCAGGGCTTCTGTGACGACGAAGTTGTTTTGTAGTTGGTTTAAGCAAATACGATACCTGAGAAACCAAACAGAGCCCTTTCTAGGCGTTCACTTCTATCGTTGATTTTAAAAGATGCGTTGCAGCCCAGACTATGTTTAAATAAGAACAATTTCTATCAGTAGTCAAATATGTAATTTCCAAATCAAACCATGTCAGTTAAATGAAGATTAGCAGGGTGCGTTTTCTTCACATAGCCTATTACTCAAACATCCAAAAAGACACAGCCATCATTTGCACTCCGTCGGACCTTAAAGTATACTGAGGTTGCTTTTTCGCCTCCGAAATTAATTTTCCCTGCCCTACAATTTCTCACTATTTGTAAATTTGAATTGATAAATTTATGCACTATAGTGCTTCTGTTGAATTTTTTTATAGACTACCTAGATCCAGGGGGTCTTACGTCTTAAGTTTATCTTTGGAATTTATGTATTAAGATATTGCAGACAATGAAGCAAGTAAATGTGAAATGTGAATGGTGCCATAAGCGTGCATTATGACGTCGAGCGTACCTACGAAACTTAGACCAATTTGTTTTTCTGTGTTTAGCCTGTGCACCAAGCCAAAGATCATGCGATGAAAACTACTGCATTCAGAATGCTCATTGGTGCGATGGAATCATAAACTGCCCACTTGGACAAGACGAGGGCGAAGCAGCATGCAATCCAGGTTGGGAGCTAATAATAATCGTGTCATGTTTTGTGTTTTCTGCCTAAAGTGTACTTAAGGGAATAATTTTTATGCGTTCTTAAACATAGTACCTATTTGAAGTTTCAGTAGCTATTCATGGTTCAAAAAGACTTCGAACAGCTTCCATTATATACTTGAGCCAGGTAGCTGTGCATAACAAGGGATGCTCGGTTGCTTGCTCCCAGTTTTATAGTATAAAGCTCCCTTCTTAGTGCACAATTTTTTTTCTTTTCTGCTACCCATTTTGAACTTCGTGAGAGTTCACTGTTTTTACGAATCAGATCGCATTCAATTAGAAAGTTGATGAATCGGTTTTGGTGTTGATCGCATTTTGAATCAGCTCAAACGACTTAGAATTCGAATTTTCAAATCAGGTAAAAAAGGGACGTTTGAAAACTCAGGAAAAAGCAGGCCTACGACTTAGTTCTCAATTTTTTTGCCTTTTGAAGCCGTCTAACTTCATTTTGAGGACCGGCATGAGTACTTCGTCCACCAAAAATTCTGCTTTGCAAAGTGTTGGCCGCTGCTTAGAATAAAATTTTCATTTCGGTTCAAATACAGCTCGAAAACAAAAGAAAATGGTCATTAAATTATTGATCATACCTTGAAGGAAGTAGTTAGTTGCTGCCTCAGTAGCCTGATTAATTGCCTGAGGAAATTTGTTGAAATAGGGCGAAATGTTAGTCGAAGTAAATTGCACGGGGTACAGTTAAGATAGTGGTTTCCATAGGCAAGCATCTTTGTGTTCACTTTATACAGTTAATGATAAAAGGTTTAATTTGGGTCGAGGTCAACGTCACCTGTTGAGTTGCAGAGAATGACCCTAAAAACCAAAATTTACTCAAAACCAGCCTTTAGATCCCCTTCTGAAAGAAATATGTTGACAAAAAAGTTAGATGCTTTTACCATTCATTTGATAAGGTATTTTTAATTCGTCACAAACTAGTCCACAAGGTCGCGAAATGCTTGTGCTAAAAATTCAGTCTCAGCAATTCCCATCCAACATCAGCTTAGCCGTTTAATTCTGTTGAGCTGATGCGTTTTTTCTAATTTTTTTAAAAAGTGGTTGGAAGCGTGTAGCTGTTCCACATTATTTCAATTTTTCACCTTCAGAGGGTTACAGACACATAAAAGCACCACTTTAAAAAATCACCCAGAAATGATTGTTTTGTAAAGATCGTGGCAGCTACGAATGGTTGCAATTTTATCCATTTTTGTCCAAAAATCTAAATATACCTTCTTTAAATGTTCCTTTTTGGATAGCGAGTTAGTAAGAGTGAACTAAATTTTGCTTTCTCGAAACATATTGGGTGATTTCTAATAAAAAAAAATAGGGCAAAATTGTTCTAACGACTTTTGTTGAAAAACATTAAATCTCGCGGTGATCGAAAGGAACTTTGTAGCAATTCTTCCCACACAGATTTTGTACAGAACAGATATGAAGTAATTGAATAATCCTTAAAATATCCTTTTGTGTTAAATCTTGTCGTGTGGGAAGTCCACGAAAATCGGTTTTTTTTGGAGTCCATGAACCTAAGCCATTTCTGTACTGAAGGGATTTTCATATCTGATTTGTTTGGATTACTTTCTCCATTTCTCCCTAGATTCTGTTTACGGATTTACTGTGCCATCGAGTAACCTAACTTTAGCTAGTAAAGAATCTAAATTTAAGGTGGTAAAAAATCGACAGTGGGACTCGAAACCACGTCGGTGTCAATAGGTTGTTTTAGCAGCCGACGGCACGAAGAGTAGGAAACCAATTAGGCAGAAGATATGAGGTGGTGAAGACTCGACCGCTCATTACACTGTTCAACCTAGTTGTGTGTTTATGCCTATATGAATCCCCGAGCTTTAACGGGAGCAGATGTTAGATGGTGATCTCTAGTTTATCGTTGAGGGTCTCTCTAGTGTAAAGCGCGAGAGATGGGCCTTAACATGAAGACAGGGTTACGATGCGTCCGTGGTTGAGTTATCAAAAAATCGCCACTTATGAGATCCTGAAACAAGAATTTGGTAGGAAAACTACGCTAAATGTAGAGGAATAGATTTAGAGGTCGTGAAGCAAAAAAAGCACAAATTTAATTATTCAGCTGGGTCATTCGCATTTTTCTCGCGCCAATAATTTTTAAACAGATGGCAGGGCAAATTGGTCGAATGTATAAATTGCACAATCAATCAATCTTATCACCGATAAGGCCATTCAATCAAACCACTGAAGTAATTTCTAAAAAGGCAAATTAATCGCAAAGGCAAAAGTCAAATTTTAAGTGTTCATCGAACATTTCTAGATCACAACACCATAAAAAGCGCCACATTTTACTGTCAACATTTATTGGCCTAAAAACTGGTAGAGTCAGCAAAAATGTGCAAGAAACAAATCGCCTATATATTTTCACGAGATGGCTTCTGGATTGTTGTTTTACCGTGTGACTTCATGGTCTAATTAATGTATTTGCTTTTAGAAAAAGCAGGGGCAATTGAAAATCCAGAAGAAACAGGAACTACGAGCATGTCGGAGAAGGACAAAGCAGCATTAGAGAAGGCAATGGAAGAAAGGGCTGATCTCGAAAAACACGCTTCTATCATTGGCTGCATTTCCTTGATTATGCTGATTTTCACGGCTATTTGCATGTGTAAGTCTCTTGCGTTTTTCAAGCCTAATTTATCAAAAGCAAGCTTAGACGAATTGAGACATGTTAATTATCTGATTTCCATGGTGTATGCACGAGAACAGTGTAGCAAACTTGGGGCAATCTTGAGCAGGTTTCTATGGAATCTGGTAGTCTGGCGACGTAATGGTGTGACACAATGTCCTCTCTTCATGCCAATCCTCATCTCTTCTTGCCGACCACTTCCTTGGCTGACAAATTGTGAGACGTTCTGAATGAAATCAATGGTGCGGCTTCGAGCCAGCGACCTGTGGTTCGCAAAACTCCTTCAAAATAATTTGAGGGGTCGAAATTCGATTGCTTGGTGTTTCGCCATCCCATTTAGACTGCGATGGAGGGCGACAAATGCAGCTGTTAGGACCTCCTTTTTTATCACCAGTGATGACGATATCGAGGAAAGTCGCTTTTCCCGTCGTAAAGGTCAAATTCTAGAGCAGTTTTCTTTGACCACTGCCGAGATTTCGTTGACAGAGTCTTTTCGTGCTAAGAAAGAAGTGCCCGTCTCGATACCAAACACACTATCTGAAGGCACAAGGTTGACAACGTCGTCCGTAAAAAATGACCTCCCATAACTGAAGGGCAATCAAGAGCGAATATATCCGGGATTTTACTGTAGAAACATCTAAAGCCTCAACACTTGATACTTTATATCCAAGCCAGGTCTGCTTCAAGTCACACACGTCCCAACCATTGTGGGCTCAGTAGGATCCTCTAACTTTATCCTCCTTGCAAACGTAACGGCGCGCAGAAGTGGCTGTCTACCAAGTTGAGTACGAATGCATGCTTGGGTGAGGCAAAATCTACTGCAAAATGCACATTATCCCCTCCACACCCAACTCCTTGTGGGTGTGCAAAAGTAGAGATAATCCAACTTTTCACCAAGTCAAAATGTTCAATGAGGACAATCACACAAAACAAATCTGAACCCTGAATATCCAGGCGTTAACTCACTTCAGGAAATTCCAGCTCAAAGATTAAACTTGGCGTGGCCTCGAAACATGCAGTTGACAGCGACGTGACGAAGAATCAAGCTCCCGCCACGAAATGGTACAATTTAATTGAATAAAATCTCTACCATTCGTTTGTTTTGCTTAGCATGGACAGTGAGTAACTGGTCTGGTTGCTTCAGAATGTAGGATCTTAGTGTAATGGCTGGACATGTCAGTACTGTCCTGATCAGAGATTAACTAAATATAATACATAAAGCTATACGAGAATGACGACCTCACGATGTTAAGAATAAATCTACTAATGTAAGGGAGACACTTAACTGATTTAGTTATGCTAAAACCTGAATAAATGCAGTGCTGTCATACAACACCATGTATTCTTTTGCATAAAACGTGAACAACCATCAAAAGCAAAATACCAAACACTTTCGTAGCAGTATGAAAGCCACTGACCACTTTCATAAAAATGAAAAAAACATTAACGCACAGGAATTTAATTACAAAAAGTGATATATAGAGCAGCATTTCAGGTGTGATCAACGACAGTAGGAAGGCCAGCTGATTTTCGCCCATCTCCATCAGAGGGAAAGCCAAACATTCGAATAAGACCCTGGTCTCGATCGTATTTAGCCTCGCTGGAATAGGTTAAGAGCTGGAACTTTGGATGCCACGCGAGAACAAATGTTGCGGCGGCTTGAGTGCCCAGACGGTAGACTTGATCACCTACAGGTAAGACAGACTTGAGTGAGGAAATACACACAGACGACAGATACAAACACAAAACGAGGGCAAAAATCGAATCAAACAGACGGCAACTAAGCACGACGATACGAGCGGCAGGAATGGCAGAAAACCAATAAAGGGCACAAGGTTAACAAAGTTCTTTTATCACCACCATAGTGAATAAGATGTTGTGCATGCAAAAACAGACAAGAACATCAATTAGGACAAACGCTTCAGATTATGTTTACATGGGTGAGCTAAAACTCACCCGCGTTCCGTAAAAAACCACGTCTTAGCGTGCTTGGTGTGGTAAAACAGACACTACAATAGTGCCACACTTGTGGCAATTTGTATAAACGCGAGAATACATTTGATAGTAGAATGGAATCCGAGCACGAGCAGTGGAGTTAAATATTCCAGCGGGTGTTTGTGCAACAACAGCAAGCCTTACCGGTCTCGACACAGCCAATATCAATGAAGTGGTCTTCACTGGCAGAAGCAATAAGCTGATTGTCGTGTGAGAAGCCAAGTGCACGAACAGGCCACTCTAGTCTAGAGGGGAAGGAGAATCGGTCAAGACAGGAATGACTGGCTGTTGGGTGTTACAATCTGCGGTGTCAAGATACAAGCGAAGGCTCACTGCGAGATGGAGAAGACTTCAATGTGATGTGATTGTGCGAGCAGGACTACCCCAACGTACCTAGATAGAGTGCGGAGGCAAACGAATTCATCAGCATCCCATACAGAAACCAGTGCATCTGCGCTGCCAACAGCGAAGAATTCGCCCGACGGAGAAAACTGCAAACACATTGCATTTGATGGGTGTGCCTGAATGCAGGCTTCCCGACGCATCTCGCCGGGTTTACCGCTAAAGCGAAAGAGTACAATGCTGACTCCTCAGTTTATAGGGTGGTACCAAATTAATTGATACAAGTTCATTACTACCTGTACACTAGGATGCTGCCCGTTCCAGTCGCGAGGAGCAGGAGGTCACCAGCCGGCTTCCACGAGAATTCGTTGATTTCGAAGGCGAATTGTTCTGATTGAATTGTTTTGAGGTCCGAACGCACATCTACCCATGTGATCTGGGAGATGGAGTAGCCTCGTTTAGATTATTGCAGTATAAACTCGCTCGAACTTACCTGGTTACTACGTACCAGATCGTTTTTATTGCCAACGGCAATGGTATGACCGTCGGGGGACCAGGCAACGTTTATGTTTTCGCCCTTAAGTTGCACAGTAGTTGTGCGTTTGGATCGACAGTCCCACAAGCGCACAGTCCCATCGGCCCCGACCGAAGCCAGAGTATCGCTACTTGTCGGATGCCAAGCCAATTGATCGACACTCTCAGTATGCCCCCTGAAGGTTTGAGTTTTGCTCTTACTGCCTAAATATAGATATGCCAATAGGATACCAGCCGAGTTGAATCCAGCGCGAATACATTCACAGATTTATCAGACGATGCAGAGGCAAGTTTGCTACCAGATGCATTCCATCCAAGGGCATGAATTTTCCCGCCATACCCTGGAAATTCCTTTATACGGTTATTGTGTGCTAAATGCTGCTTTAATGCTTGGAGGCCAGATTTAGACATTCGGAGCGGCAAAATTGCGGGAGCAACAACACGGACCAAAGCGGACAGCAGAAACCTAAGGCCACAGACAGTCGCACATGCAAATTAAAACAAATAAGCGAATCTGGAGAATAGGAATATTGACTAGATTGATGATAACCAAGTTTAAATCATTAGCGAATACGTTTCCCAATTCTAAAGTCGGAAGTTAATGTGACTGCATATAAGTGTAGGGCATAAGTACATTTTATTTGGTTTCTAATCATCGATCCATATTTTACGAGACATGAATGCACATTTGGGTTTGAGTCAAAGCCTTAAGCGTGTAAATAATTTTATGCTGGCATGTGGGCAAGACATTAAAAAAAAACTTTAACACTTAGTAAGCCAATAACTACGCGGAATTTGAGCCATGACATCAAGCTTGTTTTTTCGACATCCGGCAATGCTTTATATTTGTGTCTGAATTTTACCTTACCTTGAGGCTTCCCTGGAAATTTTTTTTTTCGTAGTGTCGGTAAAGTTTAGTCGTCAACAGCTTGTTTGAGCAGGCTTGAACAAAGACAAATAATAGTGTGGCAGTCAATCACCTTCACTGGCTCCCTTTAATAACAGATCCTAACCGCTTACACATTTACTCTAGCAACGAGGATGCCCACTGTGCAATATTCCATCATGCATTCTGGGTGTCCATTTGTTGTCATCTTTTTACTACATTCACGCGCTCTAAAGATATCAGTGACATAAAAGTTTCAGTGCGCTGGAGGGAGAGACATTCACGTGAGTCTAGCTAAGGAACCGATGAATTTCTTTAAAGGTCAATAGTAAGCAAGTAAAGTAAGCAAACTTAACCCTTTACAAGGCATCTAAATGGGTTATTTCACCAGGAAATATATAGATGTACCACATGATTTCCTAAATAAAGATAATTTATATAATCTAAACACATTTCAAGAACGAATCAAACTATAAATATTTACTGATCAACACTAAAATCAAAAACCGGAAAATTTAAAAATAATGCTAAATAGATTCATTGGATGTGAGGCAATTTCCTAAAATTCTCATTTCACTAACAATGTGTCCGACGAGCTCTTAATAAAAAAAACCATGTGGAATTCGGTAACAAGATAAAAATATGGGGTGCATGATGACATTAAGTGAATATTAAAGAAAGCTCCAATTTGCTGGTAAAAGTTTGTTGAGTCATCAAACTACTATCACAGCCGATATAATAACAAAACTACAAGCATGCAAACGCTGAGTCAACACAATTGGAATTGCTTTGTCAAGCATCCCGTTTATGAACTTCACACAAAAGTCATTATTAAAAAAAATCAGCAAATAAGACACAAAAAATGAACTCTCTGTAAACGCAATTATAAACTTAGTTAAACATCACACTAAAAAACGTTTTACTGCATTCATTTGATTGTTTCTCAATTAATCCCAAAGAAATTTTACCTGTTCAAACACCCTAACCGAGGGAAGTGGCGACGGTATATGTCAAGAAGAGGTTCACTTTCGCATTCTGGCACTTTTTGGTTTTACCTTTCAGGCCAGAGCTATCAGCATTCATTATAAATAATTTACAAATAAAACCTACATCTTATTCATGAATTAAGTGCCCGTGGAAATCGGTTTTTCAATGCTAAGTGTGGATATCAAACACAATGACACCAAAAAATAATCAATTTGGCACTAGATTTGTTTTTTTACAGTAAAGGCACCTAGGGACATCAAGAAAAATTTTCATTAAACTAATTCGTTAATCATCACATTTTTAAATCGATCTCCATGGAAGTGAAATCGACTCCGATGGTGATTGGTTCGACCTTCGACGAACATTTGCCGCCCATTACCTTTTAGCCTTGTTTGCTTTCGTGATGCATCATTTGAAGCAAGGTACGATTTCTTCATGTTTTGGTGTTTTCGTTAGTTTTCCAAGTGGTCGTTGCTTACAAAAATAGCATTCGACTCCAAAGATTAAAAATCGGAGATCAGGACTGTTAGTCAGAAAACATAACATAGCCTGTTTAATTTCCTCGCTGTTGGTACCAGATAGTTGGCAATGCCTTTTTAATGTGTTTAAAATATGTTGACATGCATCGACACTACATTGAAGGAATCAAAGTAGGGAACCTGTTCAAATGTTAATTAACATCACAAAAGTTTCGGTCACCTGAATGTTGATTTTCACTCACGGACTGCTAGATAGATGTTGTCATTGTTGAGGATTGTCCAGAACTAAGTAATTGTAGTTTAGCAAACTTGGGGTTCTAGAACCAGACTCAAATGTTCCTCTAGGGACATTGGCCATCAGGTATTTATTTGAAGCAGAAAATCGTTTTGGTGTATTCACGCTGTAATAGACCCGGTAATTTCCATGGTAGGTAAACCACACCACGGTTAAGGGGACGAAGATGCAATAGCGTGACACCAAGGTTAATTTTGCGGTTTCTCTGTTCAATGTCCAAGATCAGGCATTCAGAATTGATACAGACAGATATAAGCATGCATAAAAGTGTAGTTGTTAAATCTGTGTTGTTTTTTGTGTTTCAGGCGACTTGGAACCCAAAGTTTCTCCGGAAAAATTCACACTATATGACTTTAAATTTTGTCCGTATTGTCAGCGTGTCCGCTACACACTCGATTACCACCAGATTCCGTAAGTTCCCTTTCATAACATGAAGCAAAACTTTTAGTAGCGCTTACTAGTTAGTGAGTTGCAAGGGTAGTGGGTACTCATTAGCGTGTGGAAACAAGAATAGAATGACGTGGTCACAAGTAGTACATTGCCCGCTTGAGTAGTCCTATTCGTTACTTTCGTAACTGAACTCCATTATTTACCGGACATCACTTTCAGACATTCGTAGTGAGCACCACCCTACATGACAAAGGAAAAACCTTTTGTCTGAAGTGAGCAATGCTGAGGTGTTGTTTCGAAGACCCGAGAAATGAAGGTCCTTTTCCCCGCAGGTATGATCGTGTGATGGTGAACCTCATCAGCAAGCCTGATTGGTATTATCGGTTGCATCCCGACGGCAAAGTGCCTCTGCTACGCTTCCAGGACGAACGTCTAATTGAATCGGACCTGGTGATGCTCTACGTTGACCAGTTTAATGGAAAACCGGAAACGAGTCTGCTAAATGTTTGTGGCGAAGAGGCATTTAAGGAGGCACTAGCTCTTTCTGCTGCAGTGGGTTTCTTCAGCTAATAATTTTATCGTGGTAACTATCAGTATTTGGGCGGAGGAGTTGTTGATTCCTGAAGTGCCCCAAAAACCACCTGTGGTCACATGGGTCCAAAATATGCAGTTCCCTCAGTCTACATTATTAATTCTGAGGGAGTTGGTCGTGTAGCAAGGTTGTCAGGCGAATGTGGTAAGGAATTTGCTCTGTGTAGAATTCCCACAAAATTTTGTGGGAATACCCAACTGCTTCATGGTGTCACTTTTGTGGAGCTTTCTGGTTGCCATCAGTTGTCCTGGTCAAGGTCCATATTGTACCGTTGCATCTTAATTCATCGAGTTAGCGGAATAAGGCGTGATTAAAGGTGATAAACGAATGAATGGGTCCAGTTTCTTTATTGGTAGTGATAGTGTGCAAATGGCGTATTGCAACTGTTCACTGCCAGTACCAAACCCTAGGTTACCATTGGGATTACTTGAGTGCTGAGCACAGCAGTGGTGTCTTCAGCTAGTTCCTAACATGGGAGAGCTTTCGGGCTTGAAACAATCGGAGTCCTACCAAACTTGTTATTGTCCAGTGTTATTAATCAAGCGTTATTTTTGCACCCTTTATTGAGTAAGGCCTTGGACCTTCTGATTCGACGGTCACAGGTTTCGTAATTGTTGTCTTTATATCGGATTAAAAAAATAGGAAAAGTGCAGATGTTTATGGTGACCTGAGCTACCGGAAGTAGTGCATTTTGCTGTTATCATTTTAGTTTATACGACCTCGCTTAAAGATTACTTACTCTGACGACGCATCAAGCGCTGATGTCGAGAGCTTCGTAGCGGCTTGTCACAACATTGAAGACGCTCTGAAGGGGCCCTACCTCTGTGGTATGGTAGTTACTTTGATCCCTTCCCCAAATTTTTGCTCTTCGATATCTCTATTTAGCACTGTCTCTATTCTCTTTTGCCCACATCGCCACTTTTTCGTCAGGTTTTTTTGATATTTCGTCATCTTCCTTAGGTGAAAATCTTAGTTTGGCGGACATGGCTCTCGCTCCTTTCTTAAATGCCTGGGAATTTACCATGAACCGTCTGGAGGCTCTTAAGCCTGGTAGTAAGATACGGGAGTCGTTGGCTGCAAGCTGCCCCAAGCTGGAGACCTATCGTACACTAATGGCGGGCAAGTCGTTTGCAAAAGCGACGTCCTACACGGACGAAGAATATGCAAAGTTCGTCGAGATTTACAAAGCAAAGGATACAAATGCTATCTTTTAACCAACAGTCGTATTTGCATTCTTTGATGTTGTTGTGATAACGTTCCTGTCCTTTTTATCTGTGTTCTAATGTTAGTTTTCTTAGGTCAATTTGGTTTGTCATTTAATCGAATGTTCTCCTAATATAGCATGATTCTGCATAGCTGTGATATTTTGTGGTTGTCGCCCGTTTTACTTAAACCGCTGTGTGCTTTCTGTCTTGTTTCATTGTTTTTAATGGTCAGTCTCCAACATTATTTCATTTATGCCAGTTCATGATATTTGCTTAAAGGAAGAAGTATGTGAGGTCTGGGGGTGAATTCGTTATTTCCGTGGCCTTATCTGCTTGTGTTTTGCGTGAGCTCGCACGAACCCTACCAATTGGTAACTGATTTTCGTAACATCGAAACTAATTGATGGCGTCGAAGGTAGTGACCAGTGGAATGGTTAAGCAGTAAATTACTTCTAGGTTGCGTTTAGTTAATTCATATTAGATCACGTTTTCTAAAGCAGACTTATGTTCAACCGCGTTCCGTAAAAAACCACGTCTTAGCGTGCTTGGTGTGGTAAAACAGACACTACAATAGTGCCACACTTGTGGCAATTTGTATAAACGCGAGAATACATTTGATAGTAGAATGGAATCCGAGCACGAGCAGTGGAGTTAAATATTCCAGCGGGTGTTTGTGCAACAACAGCAAGCCTTACCGGTCTCGACACAGCCAATATCAATGAAGTGGTCTTCACTGGCAGAAGCAATAAGCTGATTGTCGTG